ACCCAGGAGGGCCAACATCACCCTTTCCAGTAAAGTGTGCTGCCCCAAGCTTCAGTAGGAAGTTCCCTACTCACATGGGTCTCTCGCAGACCTCCCCAGAAAGGCCAGTGGAGTAGGACAGAGGCCTTTCTCTCTTCTTCTTCTGCTGCAGGCGAAAGAAAGGCCTACGCCTCTCCCGGTGCATTGCCCCACGCCCCACATATCCACCTGCGTCCAAGTCGGGAGCCTCGAGCCGGCGTGGCAGGTCCCAGTTTGTCACCCCTTCCTACTCTAGAGGGCTGTGATACTGCATCCCGCTCACCCCTGGATTTACTGACCAACAACCCAAAAACAAGTCAGTCTAAACCAGGTTCAACCAATCCAAATGCAGCTACTTAGGCGCACAGCAGTAGCTCGGACTTCCAGCTGTTCACTGAAAATGGGAGGCCAAACTAACAGCAAGCTAGTTAGACATCCCCGCTGGTTCCCGAGCAGCATTGGTCAGTTCTAGCGAAAACCCATCCGACCACTCCCGTGCTCTCATGGAACAAAAGCGGGCTAGCCTTACTTCTTTACAATGGAACAGAGAAAGGCCTCTCTCTCTCTCTCTCTTTCTTTCTATCTGTCCGTCTGTGCGTCGCATTGGCCACTGCTTCCCAAAAAATGATTCAGCCCCAGGCGAGCGCAACCTATGTCTCTTGGCTGAGTCTTGCCCAACGTAAGGGCAGAGCCGGAGTGGTGGCAGCCTACTGTCATCTTTACCCAGTCACAGCACATCAGTGGTATAAAGAATCCTGAACTCCACATCCTCTGAATTTCTACTTTGCAGCAGCCTCACCTTTAGCGAGCAATGAAAGACTGCGCTGCAAAAGTGCATCGCCACCGCATCTGGGATCTTCAAGCAAGTGAGCCAAGGCTCTGTGTGTAACCTCCAAAAAAACCCACCGCAGCCTGCGGCGCAGCCAGTTGCAGAGAGACTGCCGTCTTGCTGGTGGGCTCGGCGGGATACACCAGGACGGGCGCACGCATGAGTCCTTCGCGGGTTCTGAGCTGTGTGAGGAGCATGATGCCAATTCTAACTTCAGGGGATGGGAGTCTGGGGATGCTTGCGGACTTTGGGATTCCTGAACGTCGTGGATAGGAAGCATCTTATGCATGCGCACAGGGGCACGTCTACGTGCGGCTCATCTACATCTACCTGCTTCACAACATGACCTGGAAGGAAAATAGGTTATGTTTTCTAGATCCGTCTTGTGGATTTTGCTCTCCGACTCGAAAAACGACATGTGCCTCGAGGATTCTGCTCTCCAAGCTCCAAGACCGACGAATGTCCCAAGGATTCTGCTCTCCGATTCGCACAAACTACCCAGGTGAAGGCGCTGGAGATTACGGGTTGAGGGCTTCCGGTTTGGGGTTTAGATTTGGCACTGAGTTATATTTCAGGATTTAAGATATTGATTTGGAAGTTCCAAGGGTCATCCTTTAAGGATCCCGAGAACGGACATCATACTATATCAATGGGTTTCCTTCCACGGAAAACTACAGATAAAGGGATCCAATGGTTGGGTCTCCAACGCATGATCCCTTTTTCAACTTGCGAACATGTACAATGCAGTGTATAATTCTGTACACTCATTTCAGGAGAATGATACAGGCGTGTGAGCAGCGGCGGGGATAATTCACCTGACTTTTTGGATCTGTACGGACATCTCTAAATACTCGCTTCCTGGGATCTGTCGTAATGTTGTTTCAATGAACCTTGCTTGGTTCAGGCAGGTCTTTTTATAACAACCGCAGGGACAACGCGAACAAAACACGGGAAATCATCTATAAGTGCTAATTACTGCGAAGTCCGCCTGCAATAACGTGTTTACTACAGAGGCCTTGAACACTAAATCTGACAAAATATGTACAAACACACTCTACACTGGGGTTCCACGCAACCTAGGTACTTTACGGTGACTATCTAAGCAAACCCAAAGCGGGCTACGGATAAATTTCATCTGCGCACATCTGCACTCCCCCCCACCCTGCTCCGAAGGTTGCATGATGCAACACAGCTGGGGGTGACACGTGCACACCTTGACCTTACCGGCCTAAGGCGGCTACCTAATTAAGCGGGACTTAACCGTACAACCCCTGAAGTGTTAGGGTATCAACCCTATAGGCTTGACTTGTCTAACCGTAGGACACCACATGTCACACTCACTGTCACACTGGCATACACTGGCTGGGTACAATGCATTGTTGTAACAACCTGGACTGGGAGGTTGTGAACACAAAGTTTGTGTACGCACCGGTTCATGGGCTTGAGCTTTCCCAGCTCCACGCAAACTACTTGAACTGAGTTTTTAGCCCAAATTTTTGAAATTGGGCTATGCCATGTAAGTCATCTGTCTCTCAAATACTATGCTGTTGGTTCAATACGGCCATTTGTGCAATCGCGGCATGGACTTGCAACCCGCATCATTGTGTCAAGCATGGGGAGAGCGCCATTTGTGGCACTTGCAACTTCTTAAACGTGTGAATTTGCGTCATGTCTCAGCAAAAATGCCTGGGGTCTTGTGATTTCTCTGCGTTCAACTCCGAAAACGATGACAGGTCTCCTTTTTTTGAGCACATGCACGCAACTCGCAAGAGTCGAGGCATCACAGCTCCGAAAACGACCGCGGTGCTGCATTTTGCGGCTTTAGGGTTTATGGTATCAAGGGTTTAGGGTTATGGCTAGGTTCACGGTTTACGGGTAGGGGAAAAACCTTGTCAAGCTGGGATCCTGAAGGATTGGTTTGAGGTTGACAATGCGAGTAGCTTCGGTCTCAACAATTTAGGGCCAGGGTCCAGGGCTTCTGCGGGTTTGAGGTGGAACCCGATTTTCCGGCAAATAATGGCATGAAACTTTCCCTGAAAACTTCTCCATTGGCCGGAATATTTTCAAGGTCAATGTTGGTAATGTTTTACGGTTGGGGGCCGCGGCTTCACCGACTTAGGCACGCGCAATGGACTCAGCAAATTCAACGATTTAAGGTGAAGGTTTTGGGCTTTAGGTGTTGCTGGCAGAGCACGTTTTTCCGGGAAACAAATACCTGAATATTTTCCGAAGACTGGCCCGGGTTGGGATTTGTTTGGGCTGGTTAGGTTCATGTTTAAGGTCAACTGATAGCGGCCAGGGTTAGGGTTCACGGTTTAGGGTGAAGGGTTTGTTGATTATAGAGGGGTGTTAGGGTAAAGGTTTAGGCTTGTTAGGGTTCAAGTAAAGGCATCTGCTTTGAAGATGGATAGCAACCCAACATCAGCGCTGGGTGTCTCAGCGTCCTTGCCGTTGTAAGTTCCAGGTATGTAAGTCCCAAGTCGAGATTCTTGCGTGCGCATGTTTGCGCTGCTGGAGGAATGGATCACTGTTTCAAAGCTGCAGAAATGCAAACAACGTTTGACCACTGCCATAGCGGCAAAGTCTCAATGCTGCAAGCTGCTACTGGGCGATGGCGATCTCAGGGAACCTCCTCCAAAGCTGTCGCCTGCCCACGCACCCAAAACCAACAACACGACAAAACACCTCCAATCAGCCAGCTAGCTAGCGTAAAAAAAAGGATCCGGAGATCACTTAGCTTGTATAGGTTTTGAGGTGATTGCGATTTCAGACGTACGCCCTGGTTGTTTTCTGCTTGGTCCGCGCAACAAACTTTCACTGACGCTGCGCACTCCTCGAACCGCTTCAATGGAACTCCGCTGTGGAGCAAGTCTCCTGAAAAGTACTCACTCAAGAGCCCACAGCAGTGACTACCGTGCGCCCCACAGCATGGATACTCTGAAAGCTTGAAATGACACGTGCGGCCATTAACGGAACGCAGGAGTTCACCACTGTTCGAGAACAACTGTGGAAATTGGAGAGCGGAATGCCCCAGATATTCGTCGTTTTTACGATTTAAAAACCAAATCCTGGAGACATTAGTCATTTGTGAAGCTTTGCGACAGAATCCTCGAGGCATTCGTCGTTGAGTCCGAGAGCAAAATCCAAGAGACATTCGGCGTTTTGGGAGCTTGGAGAGCAGAATCCTCAAGACATTCGTCGTTCCCGGCCCTTAAATAGCAAATGAGCTGAATCCCTGAGACATTCGTAGGAGAGTAGATACCAAAGACCTTACTTTATCGGGGTCATCTGCGTCTATTTGGGCTATAAAAGGGCTTGTAACGCTTAGAAACATTATGTAGACACAGATGACCTTCTTGCCTGCATGGTGCTAAAGAAATGGCCTTGGAGAGGCAGAACATCTTGCAAGATGTCGCTGTGCTCTAGAGCCGAAAAGCTGTAAACCACCAGCAGAGCATCCATGTTTGACAACCTGCTTATCCAATTTACATCACTCTAAGTCAGAGCTCGGCCTAGTGACTGACCTTTCCAGTCCCCCAACCTAGCTTTCAGCAGACTTTGGCTCGGCATAGTATACGGGTTGGGCAGGTATCAGTAAAAGTCAAACAAAGGTACTGTATAATTGAAACTTCAACTGTCGAAAGTTCACGTCACTCATCTAAATTCCCCATGCATAAGGTCCATGAGTTGCGAAGTGTTACATGGCGCTCATGCAGATTCAATGACTGTACTCTGTGTCAGCTTCGGTCGATGTAGGCACACGGGCGAGAATTTGTTGCTCAGCAATAAATGCGGGCCATTCATGTTTAAGATGAAGATCGTGCTCACTGCTGGGAACGGACAAGAAACCTCAAAGGAAAAAACAAACCAGCCTTGCTTTTCACCCAAGAATTGCGCAGCAAGACTATAGCCAAACAAGTCGCACGGATGCAGCACATCGGCCGCCCGTCTTGTCCTTGCTTTTGGCTTTCATGGAACAAGTGCTGGACGGGAAACAGGTAAGCGGCCTGCGATCTGCTCAGACTCTCACTGAAGAGCTGAAAGGTTTTTAGTAGAAGAGATCACGTGGATGCTCCGCAAATCAGCTGCCCCTCCCTGCTTCCAGGAAACGGCAGTGCCTGCTTGTCACCAGTAGAGGCAAAACACGTGCCGCTCAAAAAGCTTGCTTGTCAATGTGTTGCACCACCTTTGCGACCTGCCGCTGCAAGTTCTCCAGCTCGGAGCGAGCAATAGCCATATCGATTTTGTTGAGGTCACCCCGGAATCGCATCAGACCAGAGACAATCTCTGACATAGAGACAGACCCGTCCTCCTCAGTCACGAAGGCGGCAAAAATGCCCTCACGTGGCTCTACATTAATATCCATGTCGCATAGCAATTGCTGGACTTCGGTCTTCCGAATGAGGCGTAGGAATTCTTCTTCTGTCACAAAAAGCTCCTCTGCGAGAACCTTCTCGGCGGATGCTGGCCTGGACGCGCTCAAACCCAATGAACTAATCCGGCCCATGAGTGGGCCCATGACTTGGGAATGTCCTTCTTGATTGGTCTTCCTCTTCCTTGCGCTCATCACGTCCTGCGTTGCCAGCTCCACAAAGCGGGCTAGCTGTTGCGTCATCCAGCCAGACTGATGGGCCTTTGCAAACTTCTGCTGACGATCGCTGGCCTTCAAACCCTTCAATGTGGCTTCCACAAAGATTGCAGTGATGATATTGAAGAGACCAAAAGTGACCACCACCATGGCAAACGCATAGACGAGGTCAAAGCCCATTCCGAATCCATCGCTAAAGACCAACACTAAGCTTTCGCCTCCCTGGGTCGTACAATCGCCAAGGATACAGCGGAATACGGAGAACATGCACCCGAGAACATCAGTACAGTATACGTGCCCTTGCTCCAGGTGGAAGGGACAGTCTTCTGATCCCATGCCGTCAAGGGGGTCTAAGTTACCACAGGAGCGAGCCTCTCTGAAGCCGTCAAGCGTTGCACGCAGCAACACAGCAATGAAGTAAACCACCAGGAAAAGGGTGAGCAAGACCCAGAATAACGGCCGCAGGCTGATGAAGAAGCCTCCATACATGCATGTCAACTCGTTTAGATTCAAGCATCCGGCGGCCTACGCATACATCGTGTAAACTATCAGTTGCACCCATTGACCACTTACATCAGCAGAACCCTTGGAGCCACAATGTTAAGGTTGCAGGAGCCGCACACCGTGAAGCAGCCTAAAGTATGAAATGGCCGTGGCCTGAGACGATGGTGGCCAGCTCCTGCAGCAATGGCATTCGCATGAGCTTGGCCACGCGAGCCAACCTGCGATGTCATCCGTCTGGGAGAAAGGTGTCAGTGAAGCTTCCCCTTGAAAACGTGTTGCCCGTCCAACTCTCGACTGTAAAGGCTTCAAAGGACTAGATTGACTAGATACGGATAACATGGGAGTGCGCTCAAGGAACTATCTGCACCTCAGGAGTTCTCCAGCTTAACTAGCTATTCGAGTATGATAGGTGATTGATCGACCTTCTTGCTCCTTTCGCTGGTCACTGCTTCGTATTAACAAGAGGATTTATGCAATCACTCCATTCTTGGACATGGCTACAATGAACAAATCGTTGCCCTCATCCTCGTTCGTCCTCCTATCAATCAGGCTGAAAGTTTCATCGGGCAATCAAGGAGGCAGAGGGAGGCCGCAGAAGCAGCAGCAGCAGCAGCAGCAGTGGCAATGATAGTCGTGCAGCAAGCCAGGGGGGCCTTGGGAGAGGAGTTCCAGTGGCCTACTGCACAGCTGAATGACTATCTTGCTTTCGGCAAGAGCAAGCGCGCCGCGCCTTGCGATGCGAAGTCCTCGCAACATCATGGCAACTCGGCTCTGCGAGCCTGGCAGGTTATGCAAAGCCCTGAAGGGAATTACGAGAATTCGGAACGGTCCAAGGCGTCAAGATCTACCAGTCAGACCTTCGTGGGTTGCAACAGCTGTACTGAACAGTTGGTTGCAGCTGGGAACTCACTACTCAACAAGCATTACGGCTTACGGTGGCCCGAAACACTACGTTCACTGAAAGAACGATTGTGGAAGCCAGCAACGATGCAACTTGCTTGTGCAAGTATGACGCCTTGTCAAAACAGATCCCCCGGCCTCCATTGCCTGCAGCAAAGCTGAGAACCGTTTCCAGAACTGCTGCACCCGTCAGTGCAAGATCAAACATATTCCATCCGCCCGCAGGTCCACAAAAGTATTTTCTTGGCTTGAAAACGTAAAGCTTGGCAATGACCTCCATCAGAAAGACTGCAGAACACAGTGTGTCTAGGACAACCCATCCTGGTGCACCAACAGCAATATCCATGGAGATGCCTGATGCTGCAACGCTGGCGATGATGGCCGCCGTTGACAGGGCCGTCATAACGTCAATGAGCAGCTTCTGCATGCTGGGTCGGTTCCTTTGCTCTTTCCGTTTCTGATTTGCCAGCAGCAGCGCACGAGATGTGCCTGTTGACGGCATATCAGCCCCGAGCATTGCACGTTGAATGATGAAAAGGGTCAACTGAACCTCCTCATCCCGTGCATACATGTGGACGTCTTCTAGAAACATGCACTTCAAAAACTGATGGAAAGCAATCACATGCGTTGGCGTCTTCGATTTTGTGAGGCCTCTCTTGTTGACCTTGAGAACATGCATCTGAAAAATGTGCCTGAGCTCCAATATGGCATCCTCAACTTCCTTTTCTTCCAGGGAATACGAGAAGCCGGAAGCTTCGGACTTGCCACATTTCTTCACAGCTGCAATAAGGTCGCGAGCCATGATGACTTGCGTCTGATGCTGCTCAGCAAGCACCGTCTCCAAGCGAGACCGGATTTTCTGTCTGATCTGCTTGTCACGGATCGGGCTGTTTGTCCTTAGACATCCATTCTCTCAAAAAAGTTAGGCCACGTCAAACTTAGCCCGTGTGCGGCAAGCAGCCCCTCTATCACCGAACTTTTATCTTATCTGAACACGAACAGAATTCGTTGGCTTTACGGCAGAGACCTCGACGTCGAGCCACTCAGCCTCACTTGTTGTCGCTGCTCACCAATTCTGACGAAGCCCTCTGCCACGGGCCAATTTGAGCTGCTGGACCAGACCTCCACCGCGAAACGCTTTGGACACGGCTCGGGCACATGCATAAAGCAATCCATACCGACGTCGGTGCCAGCTGTCCAGTCAGCTATGACGAGCGCCCCTGCTGTGCCTGCTGAGGGAACTGCTCCCGGCAGATTGGGTTGCAAGGTCGGCGTCCGGAATGCAACTTCGCGTGTTGTTGTTTGATCCTGACTGTCGCCTCTGAAAATGATTTGGCAATGTTGCCGGGCCAAATCGCTGCCCCGGTCTAAGCTTGTGTTGGGCAACGACACCGTGTAAACTGAAAACTTCACAGGGACCATCTGCGCGTTAATCGCCTCCTCATGAAAGAAACTTGGCACCTCCCATGATCTTTCGTCTGGCATGTCTAGCATCTCAGCAGCCCTGTTCGTGGCTTCGCTGGTAGCGACGCTCTCAACATCCATATCCTGTTTAGAGGGCTTTGGGAGCCCGACAGGAGTGATGATCTTGGCATTTCCACTGGATGTCAAAGCTTGAACCTCTTGCTCATGCTGCTCCAGCAATTTGGTCAATAACGATTGAATGCCAGCTACAATGTCTTGGACATTGTTTTGGCGATCGTTCGGAACGATATTCGGCGGGGTGATACTTTGGTGAACTCCATGCATCGCCATGTCATCTCCTAGCAAGAACTGGCAATCCTCTGGCATGGATTGAGCATTTCAGCCGACACACAATAACAGATACAATTGCTGCAACATTGGCACTCAATGCGGGTCGCTAGGCCCCTGAAGCCGTCAAGTTCGCCAACAAGCATCGCAGGGCAATGAGCTGCCCAGTGGTTTATGATAACACGTTCTTTGTCCCATTGTGTGCGTGCCTGGTTGCGGACAAAAAAGCTTGCTGTGTGTTACCAATGGCTTGAGTAGCTCCCCTGGAAGGAGATGTCAGTTGGAAAGGGTTTCGCGAAACATTTGGCATGGTGTTGAAAAATCACTATTGACACCCCTTCAGAAATCAAATTCCTTGGGAAGAATCAATATCCCACCGCCCCAGAGTATGGTGTATCCTATGGTTGGCGATTTTCCAAACCTTGTCTGCCAAGTACTACTGCTAAAGCAAGAAAACAAGTCAGACCAGCAAGCTAGCTTTCGGGATGAAACCCCCTCCTAAATCCCGGTATGACAAGACATGTCTGAGGCCTTGAACGATTCCTTTTCAGCAAGGAATGTCGCATCAGCAGCCAGAGACGTTTGAGGCAACCTTTTACATTCCATCGACTCCCGCTGTCTGCACTCAGCGCAATGCGCTAATCGACGCCAACGCGCATCATCGGCCACGGCCAGCGCAAAGCCCCTGGCCACCTTGCAAGCAAAGCCAGCTCCCCAGACATGCCCGATTCATTTGCTTGTCTCACCAAGGACTGAGCTCCATGTCTGATGCCATGCCGCTTCAGATCAGCCAGCAGACGAGTGAACGAGAACATTTGCCTTCAAACCTGTAAGCTAAGCACCTCAGCATTCCCCAAGCTGCAGCGCAGACGCCAAAGCAGCCACGCACAGGCCAGAACCTGCGTCATCTCTTGTTTGAGCCTTCCTACTCGTAGCAGTCAATCTCCTCAGCATGGCCTCATCGGAACTTTGCTTGCTCTCAGTGAAGACGCCCTCACCTCTCCATTGTCGAGGGGCATAACTCGATGAGTCATTTGGAGCTGAGGCAACCGCCCAGCATCTGCCGCAATACGCAAAATGCGCTCCGCAGCCTTTCTGACACGAAGCTGATGGGCGGTCACGAACAGCTGGGCTCGGAATTTTTGGATTGTTTTGAAATTCTCACATCATGCAGTGCCATCGACTTCAGGACCCACCTCAGCGGCCCAACTATCGTCAGCAGCACTCGCTCAACCTCACGAGCAAGATGCACCTGGGCCAAGGGAGAAAAGCTTGCTGCGTCGGCAGTTGGCAATGCCAAACACAGAGGCCCCAGGGCCCCAGCCCGCTGCAGCGAAGTCAGAAGCCCCAAAGTCCGAGGCCCTTGAGGCTGGCCGTCAAACCAGAAGCTCACAGACAGCGAGTCCTGCACACATTCTACGAGCAGCATGCGCTGTATGCACTTCATTGCACTTCTGCTTGTCCTCCGTGAGCGACTGCACATGGTGCCACCTCGTGGCAAAACTCCAACAGCAGTCGGTCAGGGGTTGACGCAAGGAAACAACAAGAGCTGCGGGCAGCGCCAGCCCGCAGGCAACACTAGCAAGTCACCAGGACCGAGGACCGCCTCGACTGCCCGGACATCCTGCATTTGGCGACTGGAACGTGCTGGTTATCAGCCTGCTTGATTTGGGCCTTCAGTTTTGGAAAGCACTTGAAATCTGGACGTTCCAGATCGGCTTGGGCACATCGGTCCATCCGATGCCCCTGCCTGCCAAAGTTGCCATGTCTGCAAGCCTCATGGCTCATGATGTCCAGCAAGCCCATCTTGAGAATCAGTGCATGTTTGTACTTGCTCCGTTCGATGCTTGGTTCCGGTGGTGACCTCCTTTTCAGCTGCTCAGATCGCATGCATACAATAAAGTAAATTGTGGGGTGCGTCAACTTTTCGCTTCCTGTGTCTACACTCGTTCTTCGGCCCCACCCATCCCAATCGCATACAACGGAAACCAATCCGATGGCATGCCAGGCATCTCTGAGCACGATCCGCATCTGAGGACCGTCCATCCGACCAACCCAACGATCTCTCTTGCAGTCCCAGCACCAAATGAGAATCCAATTGCAGGGCTTCTCGAACTTTACACCCAGCGCATCGAAGCGTTTCCTTGAAACGCTTAGTACCCACATCACTGCATTCAAGGTAGCAGGCATTGTTACATGCTAGGAACCATGCACTAGGTGGTACTCTGCGGAAATGGCTGTCTCAAGCAGGGATCAAGCTCTCTGCCTGCCCACTCCCAGACTTCCACATCTTTACACTTTGGCCCCGGTAGCTTTGCCACATAGGCGTTTGCGCGGGAAACGCCGACCCCGGCCCAACGGGGCGAGCGTCGCCCCCATGCACTCCCCCTCAGCGTCCTCCCCCTCCGGACCCCCGGCCAAACCCCAGAGAAAGCGCTTTTCAGAACTGTCCACGCGTTTTTGAAAGGTTGTGCCGAGGCCAAACCCTAGAACATGTGTTTTTCACCGATTCAGAATTCCAGGCGTTGCCAGCCCCATGTTCTGCGAGGTTGCCTCGAGGCCCCCCAGCACAACCCCTCCGTTTTTGAGAGGCTGTTTCTAGGCCTGTTCAGAACAGCGCTAGCCTGCCCTCAAGGCTCATGCCCCCCCCCGAACCCCATTGCGCCTAGCCCTGCTAGGCCCCCGCCCATCAAACACCCCGCATTCCCCCTCCTCATGACACCCCTCGCCCCCCCAACCCCCCTCAAAATCCCAAAGAAAGCGTCTTTGACGCCATGTGCTTCATAGTGCCACATCTCGGACAGGCGTGCACGTCCCGCCACTGTTCTGTGCCGCAGGGCTGCCCGTCCGGGCGCTTATGCACTGCCGCCGCGGCGGCCAGCCCTTTAACCCGGCCCTGCCGCCGTGGTCTAGGCCGGAGCCTGTCTAGAGGTTTAGTGTTGGGCCTGTGGTGAAGCTGCGCCGATGAAATGGGCTTTTCTTGTTCCAGCTGTCCGCGTGGCCTCTCAACAAGCTCCGGCCACTCAGGCCAGCATTCATATCCAACAGTGGAGTCCGTCTGCCCCCATATCCCAATCCAGCATTTTCGTCGTTCCTCCGGTCTGCCTTCAAATGGTGACAGAGAGCTGCTGTTCCTTCGGATAGGCATGTCTTGTGTCTAACAGCAACCAAACCGTCATCAAACTTCCGACTCTAGAAATCATGTCAGCTATCCAAGAGAAAGCCAATATGCGCTGCATGTGACCAAGCAACAACTCACCATACGAGGTACCAACACGCTGCAAACTCTTTAAGAGGAAAAAACTATAAGGTTTCAAAACTGCAGTTTTAATCAAATTCAGGTCTCGAGTACTTGGGAACCAGCTGAACTTGTTTCTCCAGCAGATGGAGAAGCTTCACGCGAAGTCTGCCCCCCGAGCTATTCACCTGCACGAGCACATCATTAACCTGTCCCCTCACTCCGCTCTAGAAGTTCGCTGGAGTCCCATTTAGCATGTGGCTGCATCTGCTCCACTGTGGGCCTCCTCATTATCTGCAGTAGGGTCCCTCTAGAACATAGCCTCGAAGGTGTACATAATCCAGCAATGCAGGGCCCTACACATTGGCTCTAGCTCTTCGCTACCCCATTTTTGGATTTGAGCTCAATCAAAACAATTTAGAAAATGGAAGCCGCCCAAGTACCCACATCCGCATTCAAGACAGTCATTACTCCAGTTTTCTGGGAATTTGGCATCGTTTCGAGAGATTGCATAGAGTGTTCGCATGCAGAAGCAGAATCCATTGATTTCAAGTTCCCAATCGGCTAATGATCTAAGAAAAAAGGCACATGTTCCTGGAGCCACCGATTTTCTCTAGCTGATGCGAAACTTCTGCTGCCCTGTGCTTGACCTACTCTGAAAACCTGGCTGACCCCATTTAATCAGCGTTCGGCCGACCTCAAAACTCAGCTTGAGCCTTCAGAGGGCCTAGCAACTTATGCTGTTGATAATGATAATGATGGCGTTACAGTGCAAGGACTTGGGGCATCGAGAAGAAATTTAAAAGAAGCATTTGTTACGGTATGTTTCGGCACAAAAATGACTGAAGGGCCAATAGAACACGAAATATGTGCACATGAAAGTGATCGACGACAGTGATGGCGACCGTGACGAAAATGGACGGCAACGCAGGCACATGAAGACGTCGGTTGATCATAGATGACAGGTGCTACCTGGCGCATGATGCTGAAACTCATGCTGCTTCAGCCGAAAGACAATGGCGAGATAGAGGCGCGACAGATAGCACACTGGGGCGTGGGAGAATGAGGAATGCATGCAAAACGGCAGACAATGCCTGAGCTGACTATTTGTATTGACTTGTCGAGCTCGGTCCCTCTTTTCGATTCATCGAGGTGATGTTTTTTCAATCTGGCCAGGGATTTTGAGGAAGACAAGATTCCCCTGACTTCAATCCAGCCTCTCCCCTGACTTTGACAGACTGGAAAGTCCATGAACGCCAAGACGCGCATGGCTTAGCAAGCCTGCAGCTGCTAAGCCCTCCAAACCGTGTTTTTGGGGGAATCGTCTCTCGATGTCTCTCGACTCTCGCCAGGAGTTCAGGAAGCGGTCGGGAATGGTCGTGAGTGGTCGGTCGTGGGTGGAAGTGGTCGGATAGTGGTCGGTACTGGTCAAACCGGGGTCATGAGCATTCGCTGGCCTTAGCACTCCAAAACCTCCTGGCGAGAGATTGTTTAAGAAAAGACAGGTTTTGGAGGGGGTTTGGCAGTGCCTTTTTATAGTGGTCGGCGGTGGTCGGTACTGGCGGGTGTAGCGTCGGGACTCGGACCATAAGCATTCACCGGCCAGGGCCTTTTGCTTGTTTTGTCGTCCGACAGTTCCAGCCACCCGCAAAGGTGCATGATGGAAAATAGCGGATGGTTGCCATCTGACCACGTCAATTTGTTCAAAGCCCATGCAGTGCAAGTAATTGCCCTGACAGGCAAGCCGAGCGTGCGAGGTGGCGGGCGCTCTGATTTGGTCCGAAAGCGTGAATCTTTCGTTTGAAAAAATGTTCCCGACAGGAGTTCTGGCCGCACTGAACTCATAGACAAGTGCACGCGAATCTACAACATACGCGGTCGAACCTTCGAAGAAGCAAATCTGAACACCCTGCGATTCAGCGTGCGTTTCAGGTGCGCTAGCGGTAAAACCGTCGGTGTCTTAAGCATACGCTGAGCTAGCCAAGGCATTAGCGATTAGATTAGCATTCTTGTGCTGCAGACCCACCCTACTCTGGTCGTCTCCGTGCAAGTTAAGTTCATCTCGGGCACAACTGACACTAGCAATACCCCAGCAAACTTCAGGGTTTCAAGCCCCTTTTTTCCAGCCCTACCGGCGTGAAGGTGTCGTAGATCAAAGTCAAACTCTCAGATGCAAGAGACAATTTTTCCAGGGGCTCCATTGGCTGACAAGATTGTGCGAAAGCGGATGCCGCTGTGTCCGAGGGCAGAAGGCTCCAAGGCAGACCTATAAGTATCACTGGGGAATTTATTCCATCGCATTCCGCCGCCTGTTTCAGACCTCTGTATTTCCTCAATGTTTTCCATATGTTCAAATCCACTGTGCATGAGCGAGGGTCAGCGAACCTGGTCCCAATATGTCACAACTAATGCCACCACTGCCAATTTTCGTGCTAAAGTTGCTGAAACGAGACAGCTCTGCTGTGAAACAATATGAGGCCCGCACGGGTAGGCGTACAAATTGGGCGAGTAGCAGGGATCAATCAGGAAAAAGCGCTTCCAGCCCCTCACCTGGTCAGCTTAATTGCAAAAGATGCAGCTAATGCCAGCAGCGATGGGCTTCACGTCACTTGCTTCTCATACAGCAAATTGCAGTCAAGGATCTTGAACATATGCATTATGGACCAAGTCATAATGGCATGGCCTCGGCCGCACGCATGATCTTGTGTTTGAGCTTTTTGAAAATGAATTTGCGGGCTTGCTCAGCCGGACTAACCCTCCACCCTGACTGGCAAACAACGCCTGTCAAAAATGCTTTTTTTTTTGGCGCTTTGACGTACAAGCCCCAAGTGGGAGCTCCCAATCCTTTATCCAAATCAATGACACATCGCGCAAAAAAAACTAAAGAAACTTCGCCCAACAACTTCACATAGAAGTTCGCCCAAAGCTTTTCCAAAAACTGTTCGCATCATGCGAAGCCCATGTACAGCTACGAGCAGCATGAGAAAACTAATCAGGTCGCAACTGTCGGCGTCTTGCACAGTCCGTGTGGAAAGGAAACTGCGCACTACATTCAACTCCGGCTAAGGTTGTGTTGTTTTGTTTTGCTGTCTCGGTGGCTAGCTCACACGCCGACCAAACTGGCCCATCCTTCAAATGCAATCACGCTGGCAAAGCCAAAGACTTCCCACCTGCGCCCAAAAAAATATGCAACGAAAGTGGACGCCAAATTGGTTCTGCACCGTTGTTGGTATAGCACAACATACCCTGCTTCCTAGAGCAGGGGAAAGGAATTGGTAACCTTAATTCAAAGCAAAGGCGTTAGAGCGTTCTTGCAGCCGATGAAGATCTGCGCCTGCCGGAAGCAGCCCCAGTCTGCCACCTGTGCAAGCGGAAAGACGTGTTTCGTAGTCCCCAAAATGCCGGCATTAATGGAAGCCACCTTGCAGAGCCCTGTGGCATTTTGTGCCCCATGTGGCTTCTTTTGTTTTCGCCCCTCGCGGAGTGCGCTTGGGTTCCGGGATCACGTTGGAGCAGTCTGGTCCATTGCGCATGCGAGGATGAGAACTTTCATGTTCAGACTCCTACTCCTGCTCGCTGGCAACATGCACAAAAAGCGCCTGGATCAACTACTCAACACAAAATCTGCCAGCAAATGAAGGTGATCGGAAGGCCAGCTGTCGTTTGGAAGAAGTTCTGGCCACTGGCGAATCGCTTCCTCCGGAGGAAGCTCTAGTACTGCTCTCGGTCCAATGGGCCCGCGGTACAAAACATGGTCCAGGCTTGCTTTCACATCCCTGTCGAGCCAGCCAGACCAGGCTGTGAAGCTCGGGAACTGGGTGTAGGCGGACTGAAAACCAGCCTTGCAAAGAAGAGATATTGCCTTTGGTTCCACAAGCTTCTCTGGGTCGCAGCAGCTTCGTTCAGTGCAGACTGAATACGCGGCATGGTGGGCATTGAGATCTGCTGCTATGACCGTGGCTGCGCCGTCGGCAAATTTTGTCAGGTGTTCTTCAAGAATGATTGTCTGCTGAAGGCGCTGGTCTTCCATCTCGGGCGAAAATCCTGCTTTCAAGTGTGTGGAGCATATGACCAAAGGTGTGCCTGAAGCATCCTCAAAACGAATCATCAAGGCTGTCATGGCAGCATTTGGTTGAAGCTGCACACGCCGGATGTCTTTGCAACACAGCGCCTGACTCCAGAAAATTGCACTTCCGTCCAGTATCTTCTTCCAGGCCTTCTTGCAAAAGGCCCCTTGGTAGCCAGCCGCTTCGAGGACGATGGCTATATCTTGGTAGCAGTCCACTTCTTGAAGGCAGATTACATCTGGTCTTGCTTCAAGAACAATTTCTAGAATCTTTGGATGACGGCGCTCCCAACGAAGATTCCGCTCTGATGTGCGAAAAGTATGAATTGGAGTTTTGCTTCGATAGTGGTAGTGGCAACCAGCAGCCCTACTCTCACACAAGTGCTGCGCAGGACTTAGTAGCAGTTCATCTGTGCTGCTACAGCCCTGTGCCAGTGAATCGGCAAGAATATTGAACTGAAGGATGCGGATGACAGTCCCGTGAAAATCAGCAGACAACCTTGACCACTTTCGCTGCAGCAAGGCCATGGCGGCAAGCTATACAAATCTATTCACAAAAGTATATAAGGACTCCTCAGCACTGACCGCCTGGCCTGCATCCAATAAAACTGTCTGCGCTGCCAAGAAGATCCAAACAGTGGGCCCTTGTTTATGAGAACTTGTGGAGATTTTGGTTCTTTCTGCAGATGCACTCACAGTCATTGTGATACTGATGCTGGCCTTCCTCAGCTTGCGCAAGTGCTCCCAGCAGCGCTCTTCCGCCAAGTCTTCGTCCACAGCAGGACCAAAGTTGAAACCTTCAAAGTCACCTCACAGCACATGCATGCAAACACCTGCCTTTCGATGCTTTTCGAATCCTCAGAATGCATAGGACTGTATATGTCTCGCTGCAAGGACTCGCATGGCCCACATCAAACTTCAGCTTAGTTTAGGCGCAGCGGTCACCGAGATACCTTTAGCAAACTTCCCGGTCCCTAAGTTCACAATTCTATGACGACGTGTTCAGCCCCAACCCCAGCAAAAATGGAGAACAGGGCCGGTGATGTGCAGAGCAAAGCCCATAATGAGCCGCGCCAAAAATCTAGAGGCCGGCCTCCAATTCAACACATTATCCTTTTTTTATACTCTTATCGTTTTCCAATCCAACAGCACACATGTCACAGACAAGGCTTTTGGTTGGATAATTACAGGCTTTGCCTATAATATGCTATAAGATCTACACAGAATCTGGGGTTTAGGCTGCGTCCGTGTGCATGCCTGCATTCCTGAATAGAGCGGCCTCCAAAAGAAACCATTATTCCCTTCCCCTAATATTAAAACCACCTACTATCAATAAAAAGCTCAGGGGCCGAAAAATCCTGAAGAATACGTACTTTTAACAGGGGAAGACTGCTTTTAAAAGGGGCCACCTAACAATGAATTAGGGGGGTTGAGGTCATTCAGGGGTGTATAATACGAAATAAAAAGGAACTAGGGATCCCCTTTGACATCCTAGGCTTTGATTGTTTTTCATTTAATTCTTAAAAAGGAATTCATACACAACATTGAACGCGATTTGAATTCGTTTTAGTTCCACTTAAGCCGAGTTTAATTTGATTGTAATAGATTTCAACTGTATGAATTACATCTCAATTGATATTAATTTGATTTCAAACAGGTTTTAATCAGTTTTAATTAGATTTTCAATAAACTTTGAAGACCTTGATTAGATTTTAATTTGTTTCGATTGGTTTTATGCGAATTTTGCTTCGGTTCCAATGGATTCTAAATAGATTAAGTTCGATTCCAATGGGTTTTAATCGGATATTAATTCGAATTCAATGACTCTAAGTTGGACATTAATTGATTTTAAATGGAATTTTGATTAGGTCTCAATTGATGCTAAATGGATTTAGATTCTATTTCAATGAGCTTTAGCTGGATTTTACTTCGATTTCCATTCATTCTACTTGGATTGTAATTCCATTTCAACTGATCTTACATGAACCTTAATTAAATTTTCACTTGTTTCAGTGGATTTAAACTCGATGTCAATAAATTCTAATTGGTTTTACTTTGATTTCAATTGGTTTTATTTGGGCTTGAACTCGGTTTCAATTATTCATATTTAGGTGGCGTATTAACTCGGTTTCAACTAGTTTTACGATGTTTAAAGTTGAATGTTCAGTCGAGTTCAATTGGTTATAATTGGATTTTAATTCGATTTCAATTGGTTTTAAATGGAATCTTTAATCAGTTTTCAATTAATTTTCAATGGACTTAAATTCTATTTCAATTTTTCGCTGGGCTTTAATTCGAATTCAATCAGTTTTAGACAGATGTGATTTCCATTCCAATTGGTCTTAGATGGATTTCTAATCCAGGTTTCAAGTAATTTACAATGGACCTGAAGTCGATTCCAAATACTCGATTTCAATTGGCTTTAATTGGATTTTAGCTCGGTTTCGAATGATTTTATTTAGCTCGGTTTCGAATGATTTTATATGGAATGATAATTGATTATTCAATCTAATGGAATATGATGTTAATCCGATTTCAGTTAGTTTTAATTGGGTTTCAATTCGGTTTCAATTGATTTGACGGAATTAAGTCGATTTCAACTGGTAATTGGATTTTTACAGGGAATTTTTACTAGTTTTTAATTACCTTCAAATGGAGTTAGACTCGATGTCAAAATTTGAATTGCATGTTAATTCGATTCCAATTTGTTTTATTTGGATTTTAATTTGGTTTCAATTCCGCTTTAAGTGGATTTCCATTCGTTTCTCATTAGATTTCAATAAAAAGGAGAAAGGAGTTTAAAAAGGCTTTAGAAGGGCTTCCAGAGGCAGCCTGGGTGGGGAGGGGGGGGGGCCTCGTTTAATATAGGTGGAAGCGATTCCCCCACGACCTACCCGAAGCCTTCAACTGCTGTCGCTACTGCCGAATTCAAACTGGAAAGGGCCTTGGTTCACATATCAGGGTCACAGGGATTGTTTCTTATCGTTTGCTTATGGTTTTGGTCACCTCATTTGCCGCTCAAAATTCTGGATCCAACATGGTCAAAATTTGTAGATGGTTCGCAGCACGGGATCTATCTAAATAGGATACATCATGAGATTTGGTCTGCGTGGGTTCCATTTGAATAGGACAGGTTAGGAGCTTCGGTCTGCATGACGTCCATCTAAATAGGATGCGTCCTGAGTTTCGGTTTGCATGGGGTCAATCTAATCCCTTCCCCTAATATGAAAACCACCCGAATATTCAAAAACCAATTCAGGGGACCAAAAATCCAGAAGACTACTTTTAAAAGAGGCCACCTAATAACGAATTAGGGCTTGGATTTGAAGTCATTAGGAGCATAATGAGAAATACAAAGGAATTAGGGATCTGAATTAGGTATCCCCTTGTTTTCCTAGGTGTTGACTGTGTTTGATATGGTTTTAATACAGGAATTTATATACAAGAGTTGACTGTGACTTTAATTGATTCTATCACATTCTATTACCATTTCAGCCGTATTTAAGCAAATCTCAACTGATCTTGATTCAATGTTAATGGGTTCAACTTGCATCTTAATGTAAGTTCAATTGGTTTTATTGGATTTTAATTCGATTTCACTTGAGTTTAATGGAAGTCTAATTCGAGTTGAGATTGTTTTTTAAAGGATTCAAATTCAATGTCATTTGATTCTAATTGGATTTAACTCAATTTCAATAGGTCTTAATTGGAATTTGATTCGATTTCAATTGGTTTTAAATGGAACCTAAATTAGATGTCAATTGATTCTGAAGGGAACCTAATTAGATTTCAATTTGGTTTAAATAGAAGTTTAACTAGACTGCAGTTGATTACAAATGGATTTCAATTAGCTTCAACATGATTTTAACTCGAATCTAATTCGGTTTCAGTTGATTTGTAATGGAAATTCAAATAGGTTTCAATTGATTTTACATGGATTTTACTTCGGTTTCAATAAGCACTTAGTCAATGATTCAGTCTGCATGGAGTTTATTAATGAATGTATGTTTACTGAACTACGCTAAATGTAATCTTGCTGATTAAACTTGTTCATGGAATTTAAACGGATTTTAAAGGCAGCCCTATAGAATTCTTTCAAGAATTACCCCCTGTTATTACAACATTTTTCGGAATCCGATTCTTTCATATTAGGCGGAGACGTCGGTTAATGTTAGGGGGAAGCGTTTTAAATAGGATACATGTGGAGCTTCCGTCTACATCATCTAAATACGATACATGTGGAGCTTCGGTCCGCATGGGGCCCAAAAATAGGACAGATTAGGAGCTTCATTCTGCATGGAGTTCATATAAATCAGATGAATTAGGAGCCTCGGTCTGTGCGAGGTCCATATGCAAACCCATCCAAAATAACTACGTTATCGTTTTTTTACTCTTATCGTTTTCCCACGATCTGGCACAGGCCAATAAATTGTGTCAGCTCTATATAAAACCTAATTACAGGTGGTTTTGTCCCGGCTCCATTGGGCCGTGATTTGCTTGAGCCTCGAGGTGCTGTCTCCCTGATTTCTGGCATTGTAAAATCCAAATCTTCAGGCTGTCAGCAGTTTCGTAGTGGCCTCCATCTTCTCGGCATGGGTCTGCACTTTCGCCGCGCCGCAAAGCGACACCCCATAAGTAGTAAGCATAGCCTGTCTTGACAAATTGTATCAGGACACGGAGCTGGGTCGAGGCGGACTTCTGAGGCTCCCTGCCATCACCGGAGCCATCTGTCGCAGCTCGTTTCCGATGCGCAAAGTCTGGGAAGTCTAGGAAAAGCTGCTCAGCGCACTCCTCAGCATTTATGCAGTCTGGACGTGCACACAAGAAGCAGCAAGCAGTCACTCCTCAGACTGCATGTCGTAGATGTCGTCGTTGGTCTCCAAGCGAGAAGAATACCGGAAGCGCCTTCCAAAGACACCATGCCCGTCGAATCTTCATAGCTGGCACAGCAGTAATTGAGCCAGCAAACCGGTATGGTTCAGGTGCCCGATATACAGAAAAGCAGCTTGCTTCAGGACTACCTTGCACACGTGTCATGGATTTCTGGCAAGTTGGAACTGCACATGTTTGCCCTCCCTCCGGTCTGTGAATAAACGAGTACAGCAAACATGTCACTAGGATCGGGCGCGGTCTCTTCAAGGAACTCCAGGCTCCATCGCGCCTGAGCCAGCTTGCATTGCCAAGAAGCTCTCAAGCGACTGGTCTACGGAAATGGATGCATGGTGGAAGTCAAGATCAATAACCTCCTTCCAGACGGGCGCATCAATAACCATATACTTCCTGATTAACATGGCCCATCGAATGGCCTATTAGCTTTTCAAAAGTCCAAAGCCCCACGTGACTGCTCAAAACGCCAGGCCTCTGCGCAGCGCAGCAGGTGTGCCTCACCTACGAGGGCCGGCTTCTGCGCAGACGCCAGTCGAAGGGCTTCGTCAAAGCACACCCTGGAACACACCCGAAGAATTCGTTCACTTATTTAGCAGCATTGTCGCAACTTCTACACATTGTACCAAACACACCAAGTAGAGGTCAACCAAGGCCCCTTGCTCGATCTTGCTGGCAAGGACAACATCAGCCAAGAATCTAGAACCAGTATCAGTGTACACAGCTTCCAATCAAAGACGGACTGCAACCTCAAAATGGTTTAGGATGCAAAACTGCACAACTTGAATTTTGTGTTCCCTGCTTCGCTAAGATTACAATATGCACAGTTTACATAAGACTTCTGCGGGCAATGCAGGCATTATGCAGGAGTTTATTCAAAAAAGACCGCTTAAATTCGCCGTGGCCATGCGGCATGTCGAGGTTCCCACCCAAGCCCGCTGTATTTCCCCGTGCCCCTCGCTACCGCGTAAACCAAGCAATTTCCCTTGACATTCTCCCCTCCCACTTTTTCACCAACATGCCGCGTGCCAGGAGGTTTTAGCATCCATTCTCACCTACCTGTCCTTCACGCATGATCTGATTGCAACCCTCCAGCATCCCGCGCTGAGCAGGTCAGGGCACTCACTCACATCAGCAAGCGCGCAGCACTCTAGTAAACAGCATGCGCCGTCCGCCACATCATTTGCAAAAGATAGGCAGACCCAGCAAACATGCAACAAGAGTACCGTGCGTCAGCTCACTCTCCAGCTCAAGCCGGACTGCACTACAGACAATACGTTGCTCGCAAGCATTGCACTGCTAGTCGCCCCTTCGGACAGCTCGCAAGAACTTGATGAGCAAAATGTGGGCCATGAGAAGAGAGTTCATCTCAGCCGAGTTGTTGGATAGCATCCCCAGGTATGCTGAAGCCTGATGCTTAATGTAATTTATAGTTGGAGGCTCCAGGAGCTTTTCGATATGGGTCGACTGTCAATGAGGTATCTTTCTGCATGGATGCTGTGCTAGCTTCGCCGCTGCAACTTCTGCTGCTGCTACCGCTATACCACCACCACTCCGGCTGCGAACACTCCGCCAACCACCACCGTCACCACTCATCCCTTCCTGCCATCACTGCAAATACCGCTATCGCCGCCGCCACCGCCGCTGCTGCTTTGAGTACTACTGCTACTCTTCCTGCGCAAACTACTTCCAACAGAACAACTACCGCCGCTGCACTCTGTCATGATGCACGTCCAATCATAGGCAGCGAGCCCCAGCTCCTCCGAATTTCACCCAACCCTGGCCACGACCGTCAAGTTTAAGGGTCATGTTGTGGGCTAGGGCGATGATCTGGTGTCTGTAGCTGCAGCTGCTTCTCTAAGCAGAGGATTAACTTGCTGCGGCAAGCTCGTGCAGCAATTAAAAGACATCGGACTGTTGCACTTGCTGCTGGCTTGGAGGTGCGGCTGGCCGAACTTGAGGCGCTAACGGGGAAGGGCGCAGCACCTCCCTATAAATGCTGGAGTGCTGGACTACTGATTTTGGATGTGGTCCTGGTCCATATAAATCCCTTCTTCAAGATGATTAGATTTAATACGAAAATCCTGGAATCCTAGATTCCTGATTTTGGGGATTTGTCGAAATACATCCCTCATAAACTTTGACTAAAGATAACACGAAA